CCTTGCAGATGTTCGTACAACCCCAGTTCCTACCGTGGCTCTCCACAAGTTTTCTGTATCTATCTTCTCGGCTGTTTCACAAGGCAGATTCTCCCAATCCAGTTAGCCGCCAAGCCAAGTTGGTGTTACCGATCCTCCCTGTGAAACGGATTTATGTGTATCTGACTCGATCAGCATCTTTTGATTATAGTTTCCTTTCTGGATCAAGCGTTAGCTGGTGTGACCATTGAAAGCTGTACTACTTGACCAACTCAGGATTTCTACCATGCAGATCCCCTGCCCATAGATCCTATCAAGATTTATTTGTATAACGTTACACTCTCCAAACATTCTGTCACACTTCTAATATCCGAATGATATTGGTGCAACGTGATTTACAGGGTTACAACCCCAAAAACAGACAGAGTTTACCGTAAGTTGGATACAAAGGTCTGGGTAATTATTCAAATTCGTCAACAGTGAGATTTGAACCCCAAACCTCTTGCATGGCAGTCTGGCAACCTAACCACTACACTAAGATCACCAGACTTAAACTCTAAGTTGTTAAATTTCGTAATAATGAATTTATTAATATAATTTAACTTATACAGTATTGAATATTTAGTCGTTACGGTAATTAGTTTCATATAAAATATGGCTTGCGAATAATTTCGCAATATCACTGATGATCTATTAATTAAAAGATAAAGAAAATTGAACTAAAAATAAATAAATTTTTAATGATATTACAAAACATCAGATGCTATTTGAAACCTGGTTCAAACGGCGAGTTAATCGCCCAACAATAACAACTTTAGCATAACCCAAAATGGCTTAGTCGCTGGAAGCGCGTTGATTTGATGAGGAATTTGCATTCGTGGGAAAGTATCCTTCCTGTGATTTCTATGTATTACTAAATTGATAACGATAACAGAACAAGTGATAAACCACAGCTATAACCACAACTATCACAATTCTTCAAATAGTTGGACGCGATTAACCACAGCTGTTCTACCACTAAAAGCAGCTGGTGTTGCGATGTTAGAAAGCTTTTACGATATACTATGCCGATTTAATTAAACATTAAGGGATGGTAAGTATATAATGTCATATTGACGGATTTTTGAAATTGGACCTCTTAGTCACTAAATATTATCAACGATCCATAAACAATAAAATGATTAATTTGCTCTACTAAATAGAAAACTTACGAAAATTCACATCTAACTGATTACCCACCTTAAACTGATTACTTTTTTAATAATGGGGATTTCAGAATTAATTTCGGTTGAAATAAATTGACGTATTTTTTCTTTTTGAATGTTCTCATGAGAACATTACATTTGAATTGATAAGATTCTTCTTAAAACAGTGATCTCTATCAGCTACGTGGGAACGCTTTTTATTCTCATGAGAACATTTTTAAAAAATAGATCCTATGAGAAAATTTTTAAAAAATAGTTCCCATGAGAACATTTTAAAATAAAGTTCCCATGAAAACATTTTTAAAATAAAGTTCCCATGAGAACATTTTTAAAATATAGTTTCCATAAGAATATTTTTAAAATATAACTTTTTTTCAACATTGATTTAATAAATTATTTACAAGTCTTATTTCATTTTTAGTCAACTTACTATCAATTACGTTTTAAACTATTTTGCTCATAAACAAAACAAAAAAGTTTATCAGTTATCGTTATATTATGAAATGGAAATCTCGAGACACTCTCATACTTTCTCTTATGAAACCCCTAAATAAATTTTATCTTTATTACCCACGTGAAATAATGACAACTAATTTCTTAATGTTAATAATTAATTGTCTTACCCCAACTGGTCAGTGAATACTTTTAATTTTTTTGGATTTTTCAAAATCCTCCGATAAGTTCTCTGGGAAAAACCTTTGAAAAATTAAATAATCATCTTTTACTTGAATTTTAAATAACAATAGATACTTATACCTAAGAATTTATTATAGTTTTAATAAATAAAATTACCAAACAAATAAAATGTCCAACAACATATTCGCTCTCTTAACCTCCTTTTATACCGGTAATACCACTCCAACGCTTCTTTAAAAATAAATATGAGAATTATGTAATAATAATGCAGCGCGAAATGACAAAATTATAGCTGACCACGAGAATATTAATAATAAAGTAATCGCTTGCTAATAAATATAGTAATAAATTAATCATTGGTCGACAAAGAATGAACTAACCTGTTACAAGAGTGAGAGAAAGAAATCAAATTTAATCGTGGGAAATAATACATCGCAAAAAAAAAAAAAAAAAAAAAAGAGAGATAGTAATGGGAATATTACAAAAAAAAAAAAAAAATGTATTAGGAAATTAGAATTTTCTCAACATCGGTTCACATTATAGAAGATCCTGAAATAATTACGCTAAATAGAACAGAAGTATTTCCATTGTTTATTGATTATATATAAATATTGATTTCACTAACGATAATGTTCGTTTGTTTTTTTAAAAAAAAAAAAAAATTTAAAATTATTTTAAAATCTCAAAATGGCTAAATATCCCAAAGGAAGTACGTTAATTCATTCATTTATTTATTTATTCGGCTTTTTTTTTTAAAAAAAAAAAAAAAATTAATATCCATGTAGAAAGCGTTAAGTTTAATCACCAAGGTAAGGAGAAAAGCGGTACAATCCTCGGTGAACCGTCGAATGATTCTGATAAACGGTATCCTATAGAAGATTCAAACACTAAAGAACGTTTATGTATGTTTTTTATATTAAATTTCATAAACATCATCGTTATTTAATAAATCTTGGTTATTTTAGACATTCCCGAAAAAGATATCATTGGTTAGTCTTACTTTGACTAGGATAAAAAAACATGTCGGTTATTTTATTTTATTTTTTATTCTATAAATTGTATGAACATATTGTTCAGTTAGTAAATAATTATTCAAATTAAATAAATAAAATATTTTTATATCTGCATATTGTGAGATTATACCTTGCCGATATAATGTAAACCTTGCAGAGCAAGATATAGCCGTAGAGCTCGCTTTATTTTGCTTGCCAAACGAACTAATGGTTATATTTAGATGTAAAGTTAACTCGGAATTTAACGACACACCATATAACGAATCTTTTTCTAATTTTATTTTAAATAGACTTTTGAAAATTTTTTACTGTAAGAACCGTCAGTTCGTTATATAAAAGAGTTGACTAAAAATACAATACCCAAAATATCATAATATTAAGTGTATTAGACGTTAATTAGAGAATAAATCCTTCAAAGATGCTAAAAAAAAAAAAAAAAAGTATTATATATTTTATTATCAAGAATGCATTAACAAATTTTTCGCTTGTCATTGTCTTAAATGTTCAATTCCCCCGGAAAATTAATTAAGTTAAAATAGGAATCAACTCAAGCTGATTACAAAACAGTTATTGTTACGACTAATTGGGAGAGCAGCACGCGTGATTTATCTCCAGTCGCAACTTTAGGTTGGGTACGATGGGACGTGAGTATCAATGATAGTTGGGTATTAAAGAAAGGCAATTCATTATTTTAATTTTGAGAACATGAACTTCATTAGTTATTCGTCTTTATTAACTGGGACTGCCTGTGCTTTTTATACATATAATTAGAGGACGCGTTCAGCGTCGTTTCGACGCTTAGCGTCGATCCGGTATCTAATTCAGCCACTAGAGGCTTTGTGCCGTCACGTTAACCAGTATACAAATTAAAATAACTACAATATGCAAAGTTTTTTTTTACTTACAAAAAGAATAATTACTATTTGAATTTTGTGCTAAAATTGTGTGTATTTCATTTTTTAATAACTTGAAACACTTCATAATTTTCAATTTGTATTTGATTTACTCCATAACCTAGTATGCTTGGATGACCAGCGCAGTTGTTACCGCAGTTGTAACATCTGTTACCGCCGTTGTAATATCCATTAAAACTAGTAAATACATAATTCCCGTTAATATATAAGTCACCAAAATCTGGCCCTCTATTACTAAAACACCGAATTGCATCGCTTGTATAAGAAGAAGAAATGCGACCTAATATATTATTTGACACATTATTAGAATCAAGAAATGAAAATATAAAACTATCGGATGAATGCTTATTTTGATTGCTCATATCCCAATCAACTGGTGAGTAACCACCGACGAGTCGAGTTGAGTTTAGAATTTTTGCCACGAAAATTGTCGCACCTTTATGGTCACATTTTTGATGAAATATATTATTTTGAAGGCTATCTCTTCTGCCACGAAATAAAAGAACAAATTTGTAAGGTGATATATTTTTATAAATTTCATTCTTTGTATCCTTTTTATCAATCCAGCTTGCAAATAACAGGGCATGATTTTTTTTAATCAAAACTGAGTCAATTCTACACCTGGAAGGAAATGCATTATAAAGAGGTACTGCATATGGAGCCATATAACAGCGTAAAATGTCATCATATAGGTTTTTTGGAAGGATAGAAAAATACGGTAATACATTTTGATAAAAATCGGGCATACTTATATCATGAAATCTAATATATTGAATACATCTTCGTAATGTTTTCTCCAATAATTCAAAATCTTCCTGGTTGAATTTAGTAACATCATCCTTAAGTCCCGTATTCTGTGAAATTCCCCATTTTACTACTCGTTTCCAGATTTCAATTTCATCCATATCAAGTCCATCATGTTTAAGAATCATTATTAATATATTTTCTTCTAATGAAAGATACTTGTTATTTGAATCAAATAAAATCTCTGGATTTTCACAAATAAATTCTAAAGAAAACTCTTCAATTTTGTTAAAAGCTTCATGAAGTGAAGCAATATGAAGCATGCCTACAGGATCTTTTTGTAAAAAGTTTTTTTGATTTTCGATAAAATATTGTTGAACATGGTCAATAAGTGTTGTAAGACCAAATTCATCAGAGGCGACTAAAAGCTCTAAGATCGTTTCTCCTTTTAAATCTTTAATTTCTACATCACCACAATATAAAAATCTGTTTATTAAATAAAAATAATATTATAAGATTTCTTATTTAACGTTATAATTTATAATAATTTATTACATTATTTACTTAAGAATAATTTCAAAAATTGATGGTGAAATATTAGGTTTTTTAAAGGTAAAGCAACCACTATTTTGATCTTTTACTGCCCAACCAGAAGTAAAAGCTCCACGAAAATAGGCAGATTTGTTACGAAGAACAAAAGAATGAGCATGGATTTCTTTGGTATTAGGCTCTTCACCGGCATAAATAATCACGTCATAGTCTCCTTTAGTTTCGTAAATTTGTTTATAATTCCCTGTCATGTCAATAAGATACTTGGTTTTCATTGAATAGATTTTAATAATACTTGGTAAATATATCAAAAATTTATTTATGTATGTCATTGTTAGAGATGGGAAAATGCCCATTTTATAATAACATGCGCATCAATGTGCATATCACATGTAAAACATGTTCGCCGAAATATTTTTGTAAATCCATCATACCGAGAGTGCAAAACCAAAAATCAAAGGTTTTATCGAAAGTCGAAAGTGCTAAGATAGCGAAAGTCAAAAGTATTGAAAGTCAAAAGTTTCTTTAGTATAGATGCTTTTTTTCAATTTGTACTGTTAAAATATTAAGAAATTTTTAAAACTACTAGCGAAGATATATTTGTTGATTTAATATTAAATTATTTTATTAAGAAGATAACTGTTTTTTGAATATTTATTAATCATCAAATTATACAAAATAGTTTACTTTCTTGATATATTATTATGCTCGAATATAATGAAATTAGTCGTTGAAGTAATCAAAAGTTAACGATAATTATTTATATTTTAAACTAAGACTAACTTTTTTATTTACTATATTTTTATTAAATAGATAGAATTTACTACTAGTAGTATATTTATTAAAATTCTAAAAAGTTTAAAAATAGGTTTGGTGATCTTAGTGTAGTGGTTAGGTTACTAGACCATTATACAAGAAGTCTGGAGTTCAAATTTTATTGTTGATGAATTTGAATAATTACTTAGATTTTTATATTTAACTTTTAGTAAATTCTGTTTATTTCTAAGATTGTAATTTTGTAAATTAAGTTGTACTAATATTAATTAGAAATTAGAAGTGTAATATAATGTTATACAAATAAATCTTAATAGGATTTACAAGCAGAAAACTTATATATAAGAAAATTAAATTGGTTAAGTAGTATAGTTTTTGATAGTTATATTAGTTAATACTTAATTTAAAAAAAATAGAAATTAAAAGATACAAATCAAGTCTTGAGAAGTATTTATAAAATATCTAGAAAAAAAAAAAGATTTTAAAAAAATCAATTTTTATGTTATAAATTTTATAATAAATTATAAGAAAATATAAACTTTAAAGAACTATATTGCAAAATTTTATTAATACAACTACTTTTGTGTTTTAAGTAAAAAATAATTTTAAATTAATTTATATAAAAAAATATCTTTTAAAAAAATTGTCATTTTTATTTTTTTTTATAATACCTAGTCTATATTATACAATATTGAAATAATAATTACCTGCAGTAAGATTAAGCAATTTTTAATAACTTGTATATAATAATTTTTAAATACCCTAATTCAAAAGGCTAAAATTTTTTTAATTAAAGCTGCTAACTAAACAAACTATACAAAACAATTAGCTAAAGTAATTAATTATATATTAAAGATATTATAGTTATTTTATAAAACATAATAACAATAAATATATAATTCAATATATATTATTACTTATAATTCTTATAAAAATCGAAATTATTAATAAAAGTTTTTTTAAAAACATTATTATTTTGAATTTATTTAAGAGTAACCTGAAGTGAAATTCACTAGTATATATTTCTGTTTAATTATTTCTTAATAAACGAACCATTTTTTCTTTAACTTTAGGTTAGAACGAGGTCTATATTAGGACTAGAATGTTTATTATATGTAAAATTAAGCGCTGAAAACTTTTACTTAGTGACATGATGCAAGTTTTCATAATAAAATTTTAGGATATTAATTATTTTTAATTTGTAATTACCGTTACACAAGATCCTGCGATTTTATTGGTTAATCATATAACGGTGAATTTCACCCTCCGGTGAGCGTTAAAGATTTGCATTTGCTTGTTTTTTTGTGTAATAACGAGTGATTTGTACATATATTTTATTGTTATTAAATTTATAATTTAATATAATAAATAAAAATACATAATTCAAATTATTTATTTATTTTGAAATAAAATTTACTACTTTATCATATACATTATATATAATGCGAGCTATACTAGTAAATATTGATTTTGCTAACATTAATGTTCGTTTGTTCTTAAAATATTATAAATCTTAAAATTATCTTAAAATCTCAAAATGACTAAATATCCCGTAGGAAGTACGTTCATTTATTTATTTATCTTTTTTTTTAAAAAAAAAGTTAATATCAGTGTAGAGAGCGTTAAGTTTAATCACCAAGGTAAAGAGAAAAGCGGCACAATCCTCGGTGAACCGTCGAATGATTCTAAAGAACGCCTGTGTATGTTTTTTATATTACTTAAATTTCATAAACGTTATCTTTATTTAATAAATCTTAATAATTTTAGACATTCCCGAAAAAGATATGCCGTTTATTTTTTTCTTATTATATAAATTGTATGAACATATTTATTGAGTTAGCAAATAAATGTTCAAAATAAATAAATAAATATTTTCATATCTGCATTTTGTGAGATTATACCTTGCCGATATAGTGTAAACCTTGCAGAGCAAGGTATAGTCGTAGAGTTCGTTTTATTTTGCTTGTCGAACGAACTAATGCTTATTTTTAGGTGTACAGTTAACTAGGAAGTTAACGATACACCATATAACGAACTTTTTTCTAATTTTATTATAAATAAACTTTTGAAAATTCTTTACTGTAAGAAACGTCAGTTCGTTATATAAAAAAGTTGACTAAGGGTGTTCTCAAGCATCCTAAATTAATGGATCGGAAGATCAGTTTTTAATTAGTGAAAATTATTTTTCGCTGTTTTAAACTAATTAAAAATTGATCTCCGATCCATTGATTTAGCTATGATTGAGGTGTTTGAGAACACCCTAAATTATTAAACTTCGCCTCTACTAATACCCAGAGGTTCAAGATATTAAGTTAAAATCAGAATCAATTTAAGCTGATTCCGAATCCACCTACAACAGTAACATTCAGTTACCTAGTAGTATATATACTGTAAATAATCCAATTGAAAATTTATTTTATAATTGAAATACAAACATTTTCAAAGTTTCTTTTATTGCAAAAAGAAAGCAAACTGAATAATTTAAAATTACTATTTGAACATTGTGCTAAAATTGTGTAGAAAATGTATTTCATTTTTTAATAACTTGAAACACTTCATAATCTTCAATTTTTATCTGATTTACTCCATAACCTAGTATGTTTGGATGACTGTAACCGCAGTAGGAACATCCCTTATTATTATTACATACATAATTCCTGTAAATATATATCTCTCCAAAATTTGGTCCATAACTACTACAAATAATTCCATTGCATGTATAAAAAAAAGAAATACGATCTAATTTGTTATTTGACTCATTACTAGAATCAATAAATGAAAATATAAAACTATCGGATGAACGCTTATTTTGATTGCTCATATCCCATTCAACTGGTGAGTAGCCACCGACGAATTTGTTTGAATTTTTAATTTTTGCCACAAAAATTGTTGCGCCTTTATAGTTACATTTTTGATGAAATATATTATTTTCAAAGCCATCTCTGCTACCGCGAAATAAAAGAACAAATTTGTAAGGTGATATATTTTTATAAATTTCATTTGTTGTATCCTTTTTATCAATCCAGCTTACAAATAACAGTGCATGGGTTTTTTTAATCAGAATTGAGTCAATTTTACACCTGGAGGGAAATACATTATAAAGAGGTACTGCGTCCGGAATCATATAGCAGCGTAAAATGTCGTCGTATAGGTTTTTTGGTAGGATAGGCATATACGGTAATACTTTTTGGTGAAAATCGACCATACTTATATCATGAAATCTAATATATTGAATACATCTTTGTAATGTTTTCTCCAATAATTCAAAGTCATACTGGTTGAATTTAGTAACATCATCTTTAAGTCCCTTAGTCTGAAAAATTCCCCATTTTACTACTCGTTCCCAGATTTCAATTTCATCCATACCAAGTCCATCATTCTTAAGAATCATTATTAATATATTTTCTTCTAATGAAAGATACTTGTTTGAATCAAACAAAATCTCAGGATTTTCACAAATAAATTCCAAAGAAAACTCTTCGATCTTGTTAAAAGCTTCATGAAGAGTAGCAATATGAAGCATGCCTACAGGATCTTTTTGTAAAAAGTTTTTTTGATTTTCGACAAAATATTGTTGAACATGGTCAATAAGTGTTGTAAGACCAAGTTCATCTGAGGCGACTAAAAGCTCTAAGATCATTTCTCCTCTTAGATTTTTAATTTCTACATCACCACAATATAAATATCTGTTTATGAAATAATAAAATAATATTATTAGATTTCTTATTTAGCATTATAAACTACAGTATAATAATTTATTTAATTACTTACTTAAGAATAATTTCAAAAATTGATGATGAAATATTAGGCTTTTTAAAGGTAAAGCAACCACAATTTTGATCTTTTACTGCCCAACCAGAAGTAAAAGCTCCACGAAAATAAGCGGATTTATTACGAAGAACAAAAGAATGAGCATGGGTTTCTTCAGTATTAGGCTCTTCACCAGCATAAATAATCACGTCATAATCTCCTTTAGTTTCGTAAATTTGTTTATAATTTTCTGTCATGTCAATAAGATACTTGGTTTTCATTGAATAGAATTTGACGATAAGTGAATATTTGATGATTGAAAAAAAATGGATAACAGAAATTTCTATTATGTCATTGTTAGAGATGGGGAAAATGTGTATTTTATAATAAATATCAACGTTGTAACGTTAAAATTTGTTTACGGATATATCACAAAGATTTTTCTCACGACTATACACGTCATAACGGTAATTATGGAGTAATTAACGTCGAAGGGAAACGTAAGCTGCTGCTTGATGAAGGTGGGAATATAGCGTGGGGAAGTGATAACATAATTCAAGCTCAATAATTACTTCATTTTAAAAACTATTAATAATGCTGGCATTACTTCATAATTATAAAATTATCGATAAGTCCCTCATATTCGTTCTCCCAATAATTTACTGCTAAACGTCACTGACTAAATTGGTCTATCACATGATAAAAAAGCGACAAGAAGGGCATAAAGGTGTTCACAGAAATATATCGAATTTTATCTGGCACTTATCGAGAAATTTCCGTTAAAAGGTTTCTTGACAACAACCTAGCCAAATTGATATTAAAAAAAACGATTTATTCCAATTATAAAATTATAGAATCAAAAATTATATCGAATTTAATTTAGTTGTCGTTACAAACTAAAAAAAATTATCAGTTATAGCAACTTCTTTTCGTAAATACTTTAAGATTTTTATCAAATTTGATAAAAAAATCTTTCTATTTTAATTTTTCAATTTATTTTTAAAAAATCTTTCTATTTTATTTTTTCAAATTTATTTTTAAAAAAATTTAGTTTTTCAAATTTATTTTTTTAAAAATTCCACTTACAAAGTGACAATTACAAAGATTCTCCATCACGATTTCTTGTATAAACATCCAATAGTATATTCTTTCTTATAGTTAGTTAACAAGCAATAAAAATTTTCGATCTTCGTTTAAATCTCTACAAACTTTAATCGAAGATTTTCAATATTTGAAGCTATTTTTAAATTCTACAAACTAGTAGAAATTCGGAAATGGTAATAAACATTGGAATTAAAATTAGGCTATTATTGAGAAATTTCAATCAAGATTGTCAATGACAGGCTTATATTATCCCGTGTAGTGCGTAATTTGAAAAGTACTCTATGTTAAGAATATCTTAACGAGAATGCTATTTTGGTGAGTGTAGAGCATCTAAACTTTAGGCTCTCAATAGTCCTTGAATTACACTTTCAGTAATACTTTCGATTTCAGTAAGACTTTTGACTTTCGGTAAGATTTTTGACTTTGAACATTTCAAAAATTAACTACGATAGTCGTAATGTATATTATCTATTGTCACACTCGGAAAACGGCGAGTCTGTCGCTCGAATTGTGTGATCTTCGTGTCACGTAACTCAACAGCCTATCGAGAGAGGCGCTTAGATTTGTCGAGCGGAGGTGCAAGACTTTGGTTATTGTTCCGGACTCAAGTCACGTGGAAGGTCTTCTTTTCGTTATTGAGCCTTTAAACTTCCCTCAATCAACTTAAGCTGACTTATCCTCTACCTTTAGGATAATCAGACACAAGATTAAGCGGCAAGTTATTTCCTACTCAATAATACAACGATTACTCATCATGGGAACAAGTTTGTCTTTTACATGTAAAAGATCAGGTAAGTGGTTTTAGCGATTTATGTTTGGGAATTTTATGGGTTAGGGACAGAACACTTGATATTTCAGATTTAATGTCTGATATTTTAGATCAATTGCTCGATGTTGAGCAGAGGGACGAAATGCCCTTTATTTATATAAAATAGAACATAGTACAGATTATAATGATTATAATCGTTATAATGATTATAACGATTATAATCGTTATACACGTTATAATCATTAAAATGATTATAACGATTATACTCATTATAACGATTATAATTAGATAATCATTATAATCGTTATAATCATTATGATTATAATGCCGGGATCCCTATAAAAGTCAAGGATCGGCCTACTCGAAAATTATGCTGCGGATTGTCCAAATGACCTCAGGCGGGGTCCGGCCTGGTCACATTTCTCGGGTTACAATAGTAACATAGATCAATTTTATAATACGGCTATTTTAGAGCAACATAGTTTTATTGTAGTTATAGATTTTAATATAATAATAATAATAAAGATTACAGTTTAATATATTATAATTTAAAAATTTTGCATTATTAATTATATATTAAAAATTATGTTACGATTTTTAATTACTAAAATCACGCCTTCCCTTAATAATCAACGCCACCTCTGATTGGATAAAATCTCCGGATCACAGCAAAAATGATCTGCAATAATATCGAAAGCCCGCTATGCTCATGAACCCGACCCGACCCGACTCGAAATTTAGCAGATAACTTACAGCTGTTATCATTATTTCTGGGACACCTGATAATTTTTGCTCGCTACTGAATCATTCTCAATTTCATCCGGTAAATTGCCTAATCTCTCGGAAACTA